TATAATAGTTTCTTATTGAACATTTTTATTCTTAATGATAAAGACACCTGGATTTATACTTTAAAAGGTTTTTAATGTTTTATTTCATTTTGATTGACAAAATTGTGTATAGTTGTAGGCCACAGTACTGGTGGCAGGTACATACTGTATACTCATCAAATTAAGCTATTTTTCTTATTCATTGTAGTAAATATTATTTCTTTATAACAGAACATTTTAATTATTCAAACACCAATGATTTAACTGAAAACTAGTCAAAAGACATTTGACTAGTTTTCTCCAGAGATCTCCCTGATAAGTTATCGCACCCCAATAGTTATCCCTAGCCATATGTACATATTTGTGAGCACTAATGGACTTAGTAGGTTGTGTTTGTCTGTGTGAAACAATAATAATCAGTTCTTGAATTTAAGGGATGGTGAGATGAGCATGGAAGGAATTAGAACAATGAGAGAGGTGAGAAATGATATAAATATAAATGCATGATATTCTCAAAAATAAAATAAATTTAAAAATACAAAAAAAAAATTGTCTTGAGAAGACATTACAAATCACCACACTTGAGTAGAGAAGTAAAACTTGGCCTCATAAATCATAAGAAAACTCCAAATCAAAATCATAATGCCACCTCATTTTGATTAGAGTGACTGCTATCACAAAGTCAAAATTAACTGAAGCTGACAGGGATGCAGAAAGGGAAAAAGAGCTAGTGCAGTGCAGATGGCAATATAAGTTAGTATAGGCATTGTAGAAACCAATGTAAAACCTTCTTGAATGATAAAAACCGTATCTTTAGGTATAGTCCAGTTATGGCAATGTCTCAACCACAGCCACCACAATCAGGGCTCAGCCACATCCTGTCATTCCACAGAAAGCCTGAAGTCATAATGAGATCCCTCCATCATCAAATAAGTGCATATAACATTTCATATATGCATATTTTGAGACTGGTATTTGTTGTTACTTTTATATCTCTTAAATAAGTAGCATAAAACAAAGAAGCCAATGAGCTCCAACTTTCATCAATCCACTGCAACTTAAATGGCATTGAAAATTGCAATATAATATCTATTTATACAAACATAGATACTGGTTTAAAAAGTAAAGTTTATTTTAATGTGTAAAGGAAACAAAAGTCAAATGAATATAGTTTAAGAAAACCTGAAAAAAAATCTTGCAACTGTTGTTTAAGAAGCCTCTATATGTCTTCCATGTGCTGAGGACAATTGAAGCTTTTTAGTGTTTAAAATGCAAAGATGCTAGCAGAATAAACATTACATTTCATAAAAGATGAGGTAGACAGAAGCCAAGAAATACAGCAAAGATCTGTAACTGATGTATCAGAATGTAATAGTGCTTAGAAGAAGAAGAAGAAGAAGAAGAAGAAGAAGAAGAAGAAGAAGAAGAAGAAGAAGAAGAAGAAGAAGAAGAAGAAGAAGAAGTAGAGGACATGAGGTTGACACTGAAGATGTGCAGTAGGTTTAATTTACTTTATAAATATTATTAGGGGACTGAGGAAGTAAATGGCATGTGTTTGGAAGACAAGGAACAACTTTTAGAAAATAATTAGCTCCTTCCACTATATGGGTTTGGGTTTCAGGAATTGGACTAAGTGGTCAGGCTTGTAGGCTAGAGCCTTTAAAATAAGGCATTTTTTTTAAAGATAATCATTTTTATAGTGTTTCATTTCCTCCCAAAATTATGGTGACAGCATTAGACATTGTAGTATGTGTATAAATATCTGAAGTACGAAAAAAAAAAGCCTAGGCTGAGGCCCTGTGATACAAACATGTGTCATATAAGAAGGAATATGATAGCTGCCCATGTGGCTTGAACATGGTTATCAAGTAGGGATCTTTACTGGCTTCTAATTAAAGAAAAATTAAAAAATCTAAAAAAGCTTCTAATTCTGAGGTGCTAAGATGTTGATAAAAAATATAGTTTATCAACCCAATTATAAAATGGGGCACTGAACTGAACAGAGATCTCTCAACAGAAGAAGTTCAAATGACCAAAAGACACCTAAGGTCATGCTCAACTTCCTTAGCAATCAGGGAAATGCAAATCTGATGTGGGAGTGTCATATATCAATCTGTTGATTTCATTGGTTAAGCAATAAAGAAACTCCTTGGCCCTGATAGGTTAAAACATAGGTGGGAGGAGTAAACAGAATAGGATGCTGGGAGGAAGAGGAAGTGAGCTCAGACTTGACAGCTCTGCTCTCTGGAGCAGAGGCCCTGCTTCGCTCTCCTGGGCATATGTGATGAAGTTCCGACCCATGATGGCTGTAGATTAGAATCTTCCCGGTAAGCGCACCTTGGGGTGCTTACAGGCATTATTAGAAATGGGCTAATCCAGGTGCGAGAATTAGCCTAGAAGAGGGTAGATAGAAATGGGCCAAGCAGTGCTTAAATGAATACAGTTTGTGTGTTGTTATTTCTGCCTGCTAGCTCATGCCCGAAATAACAACACACAAACTGTATTCTTTTAAACACTGCTTGCCCATTATATCCAGCTTCTTCTGGGCTAACTCTCGCACTTGGACTAGCCCATTTCTAATAATGCCTGTAAGCACCCCAAGGTGCGCTTACCGGGAAGATTCTAACCTATGTCCATCTTGGATCAGAGCTTCATTGCATGTGCCTCAGAGAGCAGAGCTATCGGGAGAGCGGAGCATGGCGGTCTCTGCTCCAGAGCAGAGCTGTCGAGTCTGAGCTCACTTCCTCTTCCTTCCAGCATCCTATTCTGTTTACTCCTCCCACCTATGTTTTAACCTATCAGGGCCAAGGAGTTTCTCTAATGCTTAACCAATGAAATCAACAGATTGATATATGACACTCCCACATCACTTCCCCTTTTTCTGTTTAAACAAAAAAAGAAGGCTTTAACTTTAACAGAGCAAAATTACATATAACAAAACAGTTATCAAGTAAAAATTACAATAATCTATATCATAACTAAGGAAAACTATAACTATAATTAACTATTCTTCAACTCCTTCAAAGACTCCAGAAGGATATAATATTACCTAAGCAAACAAGAAAGCAAAACTCTAGAAATGACAGAGACATCTCTCTGCCTGGACAGTCACCCAAAGTTCCTCTGTACCATTGGGGCATCGATCTTCGGCCTACAGGCCCATAGTTTCCAGCAGACATTTCCACAAAGCAGGAAATTTCAAAGGCAGTCACTATCTGCTTGTCCTGAAGAATGTCTTGCAGACTCTTTCATGAATCAGGAACCCCGAAAGATCATCTCACCTTTAGGCAAGTTCAGCAGTCCTCTCTCTGCGGGTTCTCTGTGTCCAGTTTATGCAATAGTCCAGGCAAGAGCAGTTTCTTGCCCAAATGGCTATCAAACTCCATAAGGATCCTCTTCGATGCCCATCTTCCTCTTGAAGTAGATTGGTGCTGCCAGGAGCAGAGTGTCTCATTGTCATGAAAAGTCCTAAGTTATTAAAACATTTAAAATGCCATATTCTATAATCTTTGAAAAATATGAAGAATGCCTATCTAAAATATATCTATGCACATCTAGAAAATCTTAACTAACATGACTACAAACTTAACTATTATTAATGATTATTCATTAACAACCTATATACATTACAAAATTAACCTTAAATTTAAATCACTAAAGCAAAATCCATATCAATGTAAATTATTCATACCTATATCATCTCCCCCTTTAAATGTAAAAGAACATTTATAAACAATTTTTGGGAATATGGGCGCAGTTATTTCTCTCCAAACTGCTTCCTGCTGAATGGGGGCGTCGTTAATCAGGTCATTCATGGTATAACCTGTGTGCTAGTTTCATTTCAGTTGGCAGTTGAGCAAAGCAATTTTCTGAAGATGTTCACAGCAACCCTTCAGGAGGACGTGGCCTATCATACCATATAGGAATAGAAGAAATCCACAGACTCTCACCCTCTGTGAAAACAAAATAAGAAACTCCTTTCCAAAGATTTATGTCCTTAGATCCAAATTTCAAAGCAGTTTTAAAATATCTATGTTGGATTAGTTCAGCAGCATCTATAAACAAATATCTTTTGGCAGCTCCTTCCTCAGCATTAAAACAATTCAAAGAGAGCATAATAGCATAGAATATCAATATTCTCTGTGTATTTTCCATCTTTGTGTGCTTTATTTTAACCTCTATTTTGTTTATTTTTACTTTTATTTTATATTCTCAGTATCTTTGTCCTGGAATAACTCTGTAGACCAGGCTGTCCTTGAACTCTCAGAGATACGCCCCTCTCTGCCTCCCAGGCATTGGGATTAAAGGTGTGTGCCACTACACCTTGAATTCACAGAGATCTGTTTGTCTCTGCCTTCTAGGCATTGGGATTAAAGGCGTGTGCTACCACACCTTGAAGTCACAGAGGTCAATCTCCCTCTGCCTCCCAAGTGTTGGGATTAAAGGTGTGTACTACCACACCCAACTATTCTCTTTGTTCTCTTTTTTTTTTCATTTAAAGACTGCTTGGCCCATTTCTATCTAGCCTCTTCTCGGCTAACTCTCGCACCTGGACTAGCCCATTTCTAGTAATGTGCGCTTACCGGGAAGATTCTAGCCTACGTCCATCCTGGGTCTGAGCTTCATGAGTCTGCCTCAGAGCACAGAGCTATCGCGTCTACCCGGGAGAGCTGAGCATGGTGTCTCTGCTCCAGAGAGCAGAGCTGTCGGGTCTGAGCTCACTTCCTCTTCCTCCCAGCATTCCATTCTGTTTACTCTTCCCATCTTCCTCCTGTTTACTCCTCCCACCTATGTTTTAACCTATCAGGGCAAGC